CGCGAACAATAATAACCGCCAGCGGGGTGTTGAAAAGAATATTGAATGATTCAAGTACAAGAGTGAATCCAAGTTGTGGGCGATTGACGCAAAAAAAATCGACAAACCCTTTCAAAGAACGCACTCTCTCTCGCCAATAACAATTATCGCAATGTTGTATAATGCTACAAATTTTTTTTTGCAAATTAAACAATTTGTATCCTCTTGTTTTCTAGTATTATTTAAGGTTATAATAGATAACGCTTACTATCTAATACTTTAAAGTTAATGATTAACGCTTATCATTTTTGCACATTCTTAGTATCTTCTATCTCTTTATATTATAAAGTAACAGTTTTCTTTCTCAAGTTCACTTTTTCCCCTCAATACATAAGCCTGACAATGCGACGAGAATTTCTACTAGTGTACTTTTCCCCCTTCATTTTTCAAACTCTAGAACAAAAACTGAGAATAGATAGCCGTAAATTATAAGCACATGTTGTAGGATAAAGAATTAATAGTGAAAAATGTATATATATATATATAAATGCATACTATAGGCTAAATCTAAGATACAATATTAATAATTAAGTAAATATTAATTGTTAATAAAGGAATAAAAAAAAGTAATGAATTTCAATCTATTATTTTTATAGTTTAAGGTATCATTTTTCACAAAAAAAGTATCTCTCTCTCTCTCTCTCTCTTTCACTCGCTCTCTCATTCAGTATATATATATACTACAAAGACAGCCTCATATTTCAAATAGGCCTGTTAATTTTCTAATTAAAAAGAAATTATTTTGATAATGTCTAGTTATTTTAAACTAGTTATTAATTATAGTCAACAACCGATTGAAAAGTAAGGAAACACTAACATACATATATATACATTTATATATATAGTATATAACTGACGATGAAATTAACTACAAGAAGAACAATAAGAAGGTCAAAGTTTACTATTTTTAATTTTCAATTCTATTTATATTTTATATAAACTTATATATTATGAATAAGTGAAAAATATGTACTGTATCTATTTTTGGAAGCATTTTCGAAAGTTCTCATTCGTAAAAAATCTTAGTAAATGGTATAAGCAGTATATACAGTTTAATTTCTTAACAAATCATACTCTAATAATAGGTATTCTTCAAGTACAAATACTTTATTACCTTTAAAATTACAGCGTGCATAAGCAGCATGTTACGCTTATAAGATTAATCTATATATATACAGTATATATATATATATATATATATATATATATATATATATGTGTGGTATACTATATGAACCGGTAAAAGATAATTCTACATGTATTTGACCTAGTAAATTATCATATATTTAGATTCAGAAGTAAACTATTCTCTTTGATAAACAATAAGAACTTCTTTTAAAGCATTGTTTTTAGGATAAAGTGGCTAACGTTCTCGGAAAAATACCATAGTAGCATTTTTTCAGGACATATTTATAGTTAAAAAAAATTAACATTTCAAGGTTCAAGGTACTCTAACTTGGCGTCCTTCGTACGTAATCTCAAGTATTCTTACGTATCTCAATCGCGACCTTAAATCTTAATACAAAAATTTGTGATGGTTTTGAAGGCTAGTGCCCTCTGTATTTTATATTTGTCATAATATCTATCTCTCCTATTTCACTATCTAAGGAGAGTAGCTTTAAAATGCTTTTAGTAGAAATCAAGTTACTACTTGAAAATGCAATTTAAAGTTAACAGTTGCGGACCAACAGGAAATAATGAGATAAAGTTGGTACTGGAAAAGGGAAACGATTTAGCAATAGAGAAGGAGATGCATTTTGCTTTTTGTGCAGATTTTGCTTCAAGAGCAACAGAACAAAAGAAAAAGGTTTTAGCCGACTGTAAAATATGTATTTTAGGAGATTCAAAATACCGATGGAGATAACTCTTCACTCTTATCATCGAGAATGGTTACGCGTTAGCGCTTCAAAATAAAACAAACAAGAAAAGTAAAAGAAGTAAAAAGCTTGTAAGAGTAGTCTGCTTTCTTTGTTTGTTTATTCATTTTAGTCAACTATCCAAAAAACAGAACTTATTTCTTTGCTTTTTAAAATTCGAAGAATGTAAAAGAAACCCTAGATCTTTATATTTTAACCTAGATTTTTACTAACTATCTTTTTAATGAGAACGAGAGCTTTATACATATTAATTATTATAAGCTACCCTTTATTGAGAATAAAAGTGTTTTCCCAAAGAACAAGAAAACTGGAATCATTTCATCTAGTTTCCTATTATTTTTCTCATGCTCTTAGAGATGAACCGATCGAATATTGTTTTTACAAGATTTTTCCATACGTGCTAGAATCACAGTTTATTACATTACGAAACTAATAAAAGTCGGATTAGCTTCGACTATAGAGTCCAGCATATTAGAGAAAAGGCGTGGATGGAAAGAGAGGATATTGCGATTCAATACTGCCAGATGTTACATGGTTATTCTAATTCGGTTCTTTTAACGAAAATTTGTCAGAGTTATTTATTCTAGAATTTGAATAATCGAGTATTTTAACAATAAAAGATTTAATATATATTTAATATAATTAAATCTTCATATATAAGTTATAAAGGCGTTTGTTTTGTTCAGTTTTCTTTTTTAAATACATTTCTTTTCAGTATAGTTTCTCTTTGTCATGCAAAAAAATGTATTCTGATCAGGTAATATAACAAGATAAGAAAAAGAATGGCGTCAAAAATTTACTCAGTTTACGACATCATATCTAAAGCTTCACCGGGTGCGCCGTTAGCTTCATTCTCCCTAACAGCAGGTCTATTTGCTCCTCCTCTTAAAACTTCCGTTACGTCTCTTCTAAAGACACTTAGATTTTGGGTGAATCGGTCTCTATTCTTCACAAGCAAGTTTCTTTCGATTCCCTCCATGAGATTATCGAAGCACCTAGACATACTTACTCTCTTACTCTCAGGTTGTTGCTGCTCCATTTGTGTCCTCAAGTTTGTCCAACATTCGGGCTGCAGTAATACTAATACAAGAAGTGGCCTGCTCATACTCCATTGATTTCTACATTCTTCGTACATAACCATATGAAGAACAGTACTGAGCATATGTTGTAGAATCTGTGAATTGGAGTCGAGAGGCAAAAGATATCACCACCAAGTACAAGATCACCATCTTCTTCTAGTAAAGAGGAGAATGAAGGACCGATTGATTTTCGTGTAAATTCTTCGGATAGTGAGGGAGATGCAGAGGATGACTTGGATGTTGAGACGATTGATCCGGTATCTGCAGAACAAACGGATACAAAGAAGAAGATTGTTCAACGAACCGACCCTCAGACAGGCGTGGCCTCGGGAAGACCCAGAGGCCGCAATGTGCGTTCAAGATGTCGATGCTCAATGTGTCCTGCAATTCACATTAATTAACGCAGCTGGCTGCGCTCTTCATCGACGCACGAGCCGAGTGATCCACCGTTCAGAGTGGATTCTCATAATTTTTTTTTGATACTTTTTCGAAAAAAAAAAGTATACAAAAGTTTATATTTCAAATAAATGAAAGTTTTATTGGTATAAATAATGGTACACAAAATGACGGCACCGTTCACTTCGGAGGCCGGTAACAAGTAAGAGTTGTAATTTCTCACATCATTTTGAAATAATGTTCGAAGACTCGTTACCTTTTTGCGAGCTAATGCACGCGAATATATATATATTCAAGCGCACAATAGTGGATAACTATCATCATCCACCGTAGCTGACCTCCAAATAAAAACATAGTTTTATTTTAGTGAAACGGCAGAGTACCTTTTAAAAGGCCGCCATTTTCAAATAAATGAAATAAAAAATACACATTCAATCAATTACAATCGAATGGAATTTTTATTCCAACCCTCTAAGAGGAGGGATTTTGAAAGAGTTTATGGTTTTTCGACTTTTTTAGGGTCGAAGTTTTAAACCACGGTAATGATCCTTCCGCAGGTTCACCTACGGAAACCTTGTTACGACTTTTACTTCCTCTAAATGGTCAAGTTTGTCGATCTTCCCGCAACACCATCCCCACCCTCACGAGGAGAAGCGGAGTTGGGAGTGGTCCAATAGGCTCATAATATACAAGAAAAATAATATAATTGAATGAATGAATGAATGAAGGAACGAAGGAAAGAAAGGAAAAAGAAAGAGAGAAAGAGAGAAAGGGAGAAAGAGAAAACTAACGCAACATATATGTATTACTTTTTCAAGTTTAATTAATTGTTTATTTAATATAGATGACCTATTAATTAGAGAAGATAATTATTTTTCATACTTGAAAAATTCACTTTCATTCAATTTCAATTCAAAGTTATACTTATTAAAGATTACTGAAAAAGCCTTATTTGCTTTTCAATGCAAAGGATTATCTTAAGGATATTTTTAATGAATTTTAATTACACTTTCCTTTTCTTTTATTTCAAGTATTGCAAGTTTTTCCCTCCTCTTTTTATTCATGATCCTCCACTAAGGAACTTGAGAGAATTACTGACCCATTTTCCTTTATCCCCTCAAATAGGTTTTTTAATTAAATAATAAATATAGGTTATTCTGTCTTGATTTCAATGGTAAAGTTTTCTTTGAAATAATACTTATACCCTTAAAAATAGGTTTCCGTGCATTCTTCGCTTTAGTATAGTTTAGATAAGTAAGAGGTCGCTAGTAGTCTACTTTTTTCTTTCCGGTATAATAATTTCGTTTACAAACAAGGCTTACCTGGAATAGTTTGCGTGACAATTCGGCGTCGTGGAGGCACGTTTTCTTCTAAAATGTCATAATTTCTAAAAAGGCTGTAAAGTCTTTCAATGTCTTTTTTTTTAATTTTTTTTTGAAATAAGCAAAATAGGATTAGACAGAGATAAAGAGAGATACAGTGAGAGACAGACACAAAGACAGAGGATAGATAGAGAGGTGACATGAGACAGAAATGGAGGGGGGAAAGAAGGGGGGTAACAAAATAGATGGCGTTGCCCGAAAAATTGCTGAGGTAATCCGGTCTATTTACAGTGCAAATTTCGAATAAAGGCAAGCAAGCGTAATTAAGGAAAAAGCATTAAGCGTTGGCGTTGAGCTTCATTACTCTTCAAACAGCGAAAGAGAATGGAAAATTTCACGAAAAACGCACATGTATTATATTGGTAGACAAATGCTATTGTACATTTTTATTATTTG